TACGCACGAACTTGTCTCAGAAAAAAATATATCTCTGTACATTAACCTCCGTTTCAGGTATAGAGATGTGATTTTTTTAGAGACAAGTGCTTTTGACTATCCACAAGAACTTGCGGTCATCCAATGTTCGGTACTTTAGTACTTTGATTACCTCATGCCGGCTAACAAATTGGAAACTGTACCTACGCCTTATTTTAAGTCGGGATTTTTAGTACTCGTGTCGTCATCTTATAAAGTTATGCTGAATAAAATACTACAACAGGAAACAATGTGACAATGATTGAATTTAGTAGTGTCAACCCTGTATAATGACCCGTGTATATAGCAAATCCCAAATACACCGTTTGGTGGTGCACCTGAGAGATATGGCGTAGTCGACTGAGCATGCGCGAAAGCGTATAAGACACAGATCGATAACGGTCTCCGAATTTGGATATTTTCTCAAAAAATGGCGTTTTCTGTGAAAAAAAGATTGTTTCAAAGACAAATTTAAGAAGTGCAAAACATTACATCTATACGTCATATCACAAATATGTATGTATATGTATATGTATATGTATAAAACTTTGTATGGTTTCAGGGGAGTTGCGGCTCAATGAAATCGGTCTCTTCCTTTAGTAGTATAGACATTGTTTTAATCCGACATTGATTATAACTTTAATATGTTCTGCATTCAACAAGTTTAAAATTTCATGTTTGTTACATGCTTCTTTCAAACAAACGTGTAGGAAAGTACAGAAAAAATATACCACTCGTTATAATACAAACGTTCGCATCACATTTACATAGTGGAAATAAATGTTTCAAAGTTAGCCCCATTGCGTTATATATGTTTAAATCTACAATATGAAGCATTCACTGATGGTTTGTCTTAAGTTTAAATAAAGTGACAGTCATTTCATGTCAAAACTATACGTTATTCTGACTTGTGTTAAAGAAAGGGACAACGCAAATGTGGTATACCTCTTACAAAAAAAACCAACCACAACATCAAACTCATGATATGACTATTAACCAAGGAAATGCGTTAAAACATAAAAACTGTAAACTTGATATTTGATATACAGAGACAAATGAATATTTGTTATTGTTGTTTCTTGAAATAGTTACAGGTAATTTGAGTTCAATCAGTAAATTATTGACGGTTCATCATCTGATTATAGATCACCGTGAAACTGCCTGTGACGAAAAAGAACCAATTTTTCCGCGAGTTATCACCGTGAATCTACATGTGACGAGACAAAGCCAATTGTACCGTAAGTAATCACCACGAATCTCCCTGCGACTAGAAAGAACAAATTACCGTAAGTAATCACCGTGAATCTGCCTGTGACAAGAAATAACCAATTTCCGTAAGTAATCACCCTGTATTTTCCTGTAATAAGTAGAACCAAACGCCGTTAGTAATCACCGTGCATCTTCCTATGACGAGACAAAACCAGTTGTGCGTGAGTAATCACCTTCAATCTATCTGTGACCATAAAGAACCAATTGTGCGTAAGAAAGTGTACAGATGTTCTACTATAAAGCAATAATGTAATGAAATACAGACATTAGAAAGTGGTGAAGAAAATTGAATAATGTGATCGGTGATTTAATGATGTGATCGTTGATTTGATGATGTGATCGTTGATTTAATGATGTGATCGGGTATTTAATGATGTGATCGTTGATTTAATGATGTGATCAGTGATTTAATGATGTGATCGGTGAATTAAAATTAGACGATGAACTTTCAGTGATGTTTTTAAATTAAGAGAAAATGCTCACCAATCTTTGGTAATTTGAAAAGCTTCTTTTCCTAGCCATTGCGTATCTATCTTTAAGTTCCGTCGTAGCGTATAATATTAATATGCAAAGAACGATTTTCTGTCTTCTGAATACAAAAACAATAAAGCACTTTGTCCGTTCAGTCATTGTGATAAAATTGATTATCTGGTCTTTTCAGAAACGTCTTAAAACGTCTTGTTCTCTCTCAAATTCCTCTTGAAAACCTTAAGTAGAATCTATTAAAAGGTTAACAAGAAAATAATTACTTGTCAAATTCTTCATTCATCCTTGTAAATGTAATACTATAACTGTTACAGACGTACGCCGTATTAAAATAATTGCTATTTCTTTTATACCGTTTAGCGCCTTGTTGTCGATGAAAGCAGCTACTTTTGTGGATAAAAATAGATGACTATAAAGTAGCACGTCGAACTGTTTTAACTTCCAGTTTTAGTTTGTAAGACCACAATTCCTGATTTAAGGATACCCATGAATCTAGGCACAATGTTTGTCAATTATTTGTGGCTTTGTTTTATCAGTCAAGGAAAAAGTGTTGCCAAAATTAAAATTTGTAGACTATATTTAGATATGAGCAACAGAAAACTGCCAACATGGGATATTTTACACAAAAGCGTTGATGTATCTTTCAACTTTAACTCAGAACTGTTTTTAAATGAATGATTATTATCTATATTTTTACTTAGTGGTACCCTTATATGAGGAATTGCTCTCATTAAGATCAATTGAGATCGATTAGTATGAGATGCAAGACAATTGGCGTTCACATAACAAACCAACCGACTCAATCTTAATTTTATGGTTCATTTTCAAAAATCTATTTTAAACATCCACTTCGAAAGATTCGATTTTTTTTTCAATTTAAAATCAATTTTGGTTGATGAGAATCAGGATCGATTTAATTTTAAAATCAAATGCCTCTATAAACGCATGCACAATCTCAAAATTTGGGAAAATAAATTTTGATCGCAATCGATTCAGTTGTTTAAGTAGCTTTTCTAATTCAAAACTATTTTCAAGACCGTAGCATTCATCGGGTACTGAAAAATACCGATTGGAATTAACGGACAATGAAATCGATCGCTATGAAACCTGATTTGATATACCGTTAACGTACCAACAGAGTCTTGCTATAACAGGTCAGTTAAAATTTTTGTGCACGGCCAGTCTCCTTTTGACTGTTTAGGGATATTGTGCAATCTTTTTTTTCCAGTAAGCATGACAACTATTATTAATTGTTTCAACAGGTGTCTACATATTCATTTTAAAACAACTGATGTTATGATCTATGATGTAGATAATGACAAACAAATATACAGACATACTTTCTCATTTTATAAAAAATGAATACACATATCTTTTGCAAAAATATGGATGAGGAATATATTCCGACAATATAAGACCACATCCACTTAGAGTATATTTTTATGGTCTTTTTTTTTTATATCAATATTATATTTCAGTCTTAGACGATAACCTTACCTAAGAGTGTAAAACAGTGGCGGATCCAAGGGAAGGGGGGTCCAGGGGTTGGAACCCCCCATTTTTTTGACGATCAATGTATTTGAATAGGGACATATGGTTGGAACCCCCCCCCCCCCTCCTTCCCTTTATCCTGGGTTGGAACCCCTTTTAAAAATGGCTCGATTTGCCCCTGGAAAAATGACGCATTAAAAGATCACAAGCCAAGAGAAAACAATAAAATATTTAACCACTTGGATTCGTCGACTAAAGAAACATGGATCCGTCGGCTTACCACATATAGAGTCCTTAGCGAAAACAAACAATTACGCATCATCATGACAATAATGATAAGATTTGACAATCACTTCTTAAATCAAGGTACTGTCTAATATTTAACAAATTTGGTAATTTCATCGGCGGTTTTCAATGCACATGTTATGTCTTGCCATTTAAAAAGCAAATTAAAGTTTAATGCATTTACGAAGTCAAAGTTAGTGTCAGATGTCAAACAATACAGCATGCTTGTTTCCTGTATAGACATGCATACCGTGTCAGATGTCACACAATACAGCATGCTTGTTTCCAGTATAGACATGGATACCCTTTATTGTATCTAAAGAACTGTTTCTCCTCGATAAAAATTCTTAAACTCAAAATAAGTTGATAATTTGAAAATGGACTATTTGCTTGCAATATCATAAACTAGAACGCATATTTAAACATTGACATCAAATTGGGCGACACGTGCTCCAGTAATAAAAATCTTCAGGTGATCAGAAAACGCCGCAAAAACATAATAATCTTTAGGTGATCCCAAAGCCAAAACTCCGAGGAAAAACACATACAAATCTTTAGGTTAACCCAAAGCCAAAACTCTGAGGAAAACACCTACAAATCTTCAGATGAACCCAAAGTCAAAACGTCTAGGAAAAACACATAAAAATTAAAATTGATAGGTCACATCCACCTTAAAAATAAAAAAGAACAAACAAAATAAAAAAAAAAAGAAATACAGTAACACGAAGATAAATGTACTTCTTCTTTCCTTACTAAAATTAACTTTTTATCACAATGCAGCATATAGATGTGTCATGCGAAAACAATTCAGGTATTTCAAAGGTTCAATTTCAGTTCACTTTCGTGACCTATATATCAAGTTATTTACTAAGCGACAACAATCTTTGTTTATATGATTATCAGAGACGAAAATGATTCGGAATGTTTCTACTAGAAGACTTTGTGCATTTACCACAAACATTTTATCGTCTGATAATCTTTAACTCTATCATTTACAATATATGAAAGTTTTGTCACAAAAGATTCCATAACAGCAGGTTGTATGCTATTAAAATTTGATTCTCTACAACAGCTGAAGTGTTTTATGGCAGATCGTATCTGAAGTTATGAAACTTATATTTTTCTTATTTCTAAATTTCTAATCAAATCTTTTGATACATTTTCTCCGATTCTTCAATTCTAAACGCATTTATTTAACACCTTTCCTTGGATAGCGATAATAAATCTTGTTATAATTTACACATTATGACATTCTTTGGATTTTCTGTTATTTTGATATTATCATAGTTTTGAAATATTATACAGTTATATATAAACAAGTTATATTTACTCATTGTCGAAGCACAAGTTTGTCTCTCTACACTCATTCTTCCAAATTGTGGTGGATATTTTCAGTATATATACATTATAGATATCTAATATTGAAGTTATAGTTGCAAAAAAAAACTTACCTTACTGTTTCTTTAAACCTGAGTTAAAAAAAAGTTATGAATTCCTTCCAATAATAAAATTTGTATAATCCATTTTCTTAAATTGTTTTGCGCATAAAACAAATGGAGCGGTTAAAAGATAGATCCTAATTGGCTGACCAATGACAAAGCCAATTACCACATGTCCATATTATTACGAGAGCTTCTGATTACCTGCAGGTAACGTAGAGCAACGTAATACCATATGGAAATATCGTGAAGACTGTTTTTGTAATAACTGAGATAACAAACGCTGCTTGGTACAGATTGAACTTAATATAGCTGTTATAATTATCACAGATTATAGCATCAAATTCAATTATATTTTTTTTTATAAAAAAACACAGGAAACAGAACGATTGGACATTTTTGACTTGTCTTCTTAAAATAAAAAATGAAATTATGTTCGTCTGGTAAAAATTGAATTCCTATGATGAAAGCTATTGATTTGATTAAACAGATCGGTTTTGTCGTAAAAACCTCAATTACTTTTATTAGCTGGCATAGAGAATCTAAGCTGAACCCAGCAATTCACTTCAATATCCATTACTTAAGAAAACCACATCCGTTTTTGTGAATTCAGTCTTCGTAATTTACCTCATTTCAAAGAATCTTTTTGTATAGCATTGTTAGTGTCGACAAAATCTTTCTCTTAATCAACAGACTTTAACGGTTGCTTTGTAAGAAGTAAATAACTCAATTATCCGTATCAATCAGCACAAGTTTTTCCCCATTGAGAATTGTATGAACTTAACAATCAGGAAATGTTCTGTATATTCTATAATGATTAAGTAAAATAAACAACTCGCTCAATGATTTATTAAGAATTATGGTGATGACTATCGAGGCATATATATCTTGCAAATGATTAAATCTAAGCAGAAGTCTACGCAAAATATAAAAAAATAACAAAATAAATGAATGAAAAACAAAAATAAGACTACACATAGTTAATTTTCCGGCTTTTGATGTCTTATCCTGAGACGAGAAAAGTCTGTAATTCTTTATCTCATTTAAGCCAATAGCTGTTGCTGTATCTCAGCCGCATCATAAAGCAACCAATCAGAATCTATATGTGATAAGTAATTATTTCAAGATGGCGTGTATGGCCACTGAAACTAATAGCTCCGCACCGTGATGCGAAGCAAAAAACAAACAATTATAGAAAGACAAGAAGAAAAGGGTATTTAGATTTTTCACATGAACGTTCTGTAGTAGATTTGGTCCCAGTTGGCGCAATTATGAAACTTCCGTCTTGTCGCATCAAGAAATGAGTAGCAAGTGAAACAATGCCGTTCCCATAATGCAACATAGGTTTCTAATATAGTCCATGCCGTTTTTGGAATTTTAGGGGGGGGGGTTTATAGTATATTTTTTTATTGATCTATTTCTTTTATTTCATTTTTCTTTATATATGGTACCATTACTGGTTTTTCTTCTTCTTCAAGTTTGGAAGAGGAGGAGGGGGTTATATCCGAGGGAAATGACACGCGGAATGTGGAATACAGGGGTAAAAAATGGGGATGTGGGATAAAGGGGGTAAAAAAGTCGGATCTGGGAAAAAGAAGGGCAAAAAGTGGGAACATGGAACAAATTACAAAAAAGCGGGATATAGGAAATGAACACCCTGTGTTACCTTCCGCTTTATACTCTGTATCGTGTTTTTTTTTGTTGTTGTCTGAAAAGTTATTTGAGCAATTATTGTTAATAGGTACATGTTCACCGGTTCCAGCCATTAACAATCCACGAATTGCCATTTTAGTAAAAGTAGCGTAATTCAAATTTTAAACTTAGAATATAAAAATAAGAAGATGATAGTCATTGAGACAACTATCCACCAGTTCATTACCTTCCCCCAAACTACTATGTCCTTAAAAGGACATTGTCTGACTAAGATTCACAGATTTATGGAACAAATGTAAACAGCCCTTCCAATCCAGTTACACAATAATAATCGTAATAACGAGGACAATTGTGACGTTATAATGTTGAGTATTCATAGGTTTGTCAGTTCCAAACGGAATTTCATTGAAACCGATCAACAGAAATGTTGTGTCAGAAATCCAATACATTGCTACTGAAACCGAGCCATGGCATCATAGGTAGATTTTTAGCTCACCTGGCCCAATGGGTCAAGTGAGCTTTTCTCATTACTTGGCGTCCATCGTCCGTCGTCCGTCGTCGTCGTCCGTTAACTTTTACAAAAATATTCTCCTCTGAAACGACTGGACCAAATTTAATCAAACTTGGCCACAATCATCATTGGGGTATCTAGTTTTAAAAATGTGTTCGATGACCCGGCCCGCCAACCAAGATGGCCGCCATGGCTAGAAATATAACATAGGGTAAAAATGTAGATTTTGCTTATATCTCTGAAACCAAAGCATTTAGAGCAATTCTGACGGGGTCAAATTGTTCATCAGGTCAAGATCTATTTGCCCTGAAATTGGTAATTTTAAGAAAAACCGTTGTTGGGTTGCTGCCCTGAATTGATAATTTTAAGAAAATTTTGCAGTTTTTGGTTATTATTTTCAATATTATTATAGATAGAGATAAATTGTAAACAGCAAGATCTACAAATAAGTCAACATCACCAAGATGGTCAATTGACCTCTTAAGGAGTTATTGCCCTTTATAGTTAATTTTTAACAATTTTTTGTAAATTTTTGTTATCTTTTACAAAAATATTCTCCTCTGAAACGACTGGACCAAATTTAATCAAACTTGGCCACAATCATCATTAGGGTATCTAGTTTAAAAATGTGTCCGATAACCCCGCTTACCAACCAAAATGGCCGACATGGCTATAAATAGAACATAGGGGTAAAATGTAGATTTTGGCTTATATCTCTGAAACTAAAGCATTTAGAGCAAATCTGACAGGGTTACAAATGTTTATCAGGTTAAGATCTATCTGCTCTGAAATTTTCAGACAAATCAGACAACCCGTAATTGGGTTGCTGTCCCTGAATTGGTAATTTTAAGGAAATTTTGCAGTTTTTGGTTATTATCTTGAATACTATTATATATAGAGATAAACTGTAAACAGCAATAATGTTCAGCAAAGTAAGATCTACAAATAAGTCAACATCACCAAAATGGTCAATTGACCTAAAAATATCATGACAAAATATTCAATCTTATAAGTCTACCAGTTCTTACATATTTCAAACTAATCTGAATGAAGAGATTCAGAAATGTTGGTTTTTTTTTCCATTAAACTATATCTGCTAAAAGCAATCAACGCCTTTATGATTAAAATATTTCGTCAATATTTTCGACTGCACGGGTGCAAACGATTTTACAACTACGTTATTGAGTTGCTCAATGACGAAAATCTCTGTGGTATTCTCCAATCTCAGGTCTGATAAAGCTTGCCTCTCACCCAAATTTAAAGCATAGGATGAATATAAATGAATTAAACTATAAGAATTTACCATTATGGAAAAAATTAAGTAGGCCGACCAATCAATCAAATTATAATCGATAAACAATAAACTGTTGACACAGAGATAAGTCTCGTTTTGTTGTTGTTGTAAATTTGATAGTATAACGCAAATGCGAGACAAAACAGCTATCCGCATCTTAAACCAAATTATTGGCTTCCTCTAGGAATTAAAACAATTGATTTTGTCCCCATAAATACCAAACCAACAACAGACAACCGTAAGATTATACAGAAGAATCATACCATGGTATTGTCAAATAAAAAATGGCGTTGCGTGGAACTGACTTAGAACCAAATCAGAATTAGCCAACAAACCACTGATGATCAATAAGTTTTACTTTTACCTGGTAATTTACTTACCATCAGAAAAACATGCTTGCAGTGGCCCTCAATTTTTTGTACCTTAAACATAGAAACGCGTAAAAATCATAATTTAGGGCAATATCTTCTATAAAAAGTCAACTAACAATTTCAGCCATTTGACCTATTGGTTCATCATTTTTGCTTTTTTAATTTTCTATCTATTATTGTTTTCAAGATATTAAGCAAAAATGCAAAACACATATTAATCGTCATTTAAGGACAATAACTCATAAAAAAGTCGTCTGACAGTTTTGATATAAATAGACAGTAGACAGATCTCAACATTCTGAGCTTTTTTATCCTGTCAGATTTTTCTATATCTTTTCAAGATAAAAGATATAACTTTCATTTTACCCCAATGTTGCCGTGTCGGCCTTGATGGTTCGCGGGTCGGAATATCGGACACATTTATCAAACTAGATATCCCAATGGACGGACGACGGAGGACGGACGCCAAGTGTTGAGCTCAATTGTCCCTTTTGGTCAGGTAAGCTTATACAAATTTAGTAGTCCAAAATTAAGACATAATTGAGAATTGTGTCCCCCTTTCTTCTGCAAGTTGGAAAAGCAACTTTTTATTCACATATACCATATGAACCATACTTCTGAGGTTTAACAGGGATTAAACAAAAACAACTTATATATATATATATATATATATATATATATAACTTGCCTAACAATGTAATTTTAACACACTATTTAGTATGTAAATATAAGAATGTTTACAATATCTACAAAATGATGAAAATAAACGCAATATTTCGCTAGACTAACTAGCTTTATCAAGCGTGCATCTATCCAGGTGAAATCGGATGTAGATGATAAGAAACTTTTGCAGCTCAATGTATATGTTGCACTTGAATTTAGCTGCCTTGAAAATAATACATAATTTGGATGAAGTTCAAGATTTTTACAAAATTGGTAGTTGAAGTTAGCAACGTCCATTGGCCAATATTACAGGATAAAAAGGACGATGCTGTGTACTAAATTATTCTTTATCTTTCCTGTATCTTTTCTCATCTTTTTCATTAAGACCATCAGGTTCTAAAGTGTGGAGTTGGTGGATCCAAGAATTTTCTCTTCTCCTTCTCGCTGTGGTGTCCCACTCGGTGTTGACTTCTATGATTTGGAAAGTAACATTATCAAAAGAATGTTTCGTTGAACGAAGAAGTCTTGTGAGAGGACAGTTTTTGTTGGTTTTGTACCATGAACGATGGTTATTGAGCCGAATATTAAATTTGTCCATTGTTTCTCCCACATACTGAATGCCACAAGTGTCACATGTTAATATATAAATTGAGTTCTCCGTTTTACAGTTGGAATTTGAGTAGATAGTATAATTTTGTTTAGTAACGGAGCTGATGAAAGAACTGCTTGTATTGGCAGCTTTACAACACAAGCAGTTCCTTCGACCACATTGTTTGTAGCAACCGGGAGATGGAGTAGGCTGCTTTGCTAATACAGATGTCACTAATTTGTCACGGATGTTTTTAGGTCTTCTGAAGGCCATGACTGGTGGTGAGGAAAATTTTCCAATGCTTCTGAACAATGGAAAACACATTTTTAAAATCAGGATGGGAAGTGAGTACAAGGGG